TGAAGAGATGTCATGTTAATTCTGTCTAGCCAATGCTAAAATGGTTAAATTCTCTGAAGAATGGTCATGTTAATTCTGTCTACTGAAGACTAAAACAGCTAAATTATCTGAAGAGATGTCATGTTAATTCTGTCTAGCCAATCCTAAAACACCTAAGTTCTCTAAAGAGGTGTCATGTTAATTCTGTCTACTGAACACTAAAACAGCTAAATTCTCTGCAGAGTGGTCATGTTAATTCTGTCTAGCCAATCCTAAAACACCTAAGTTCTCTAAAGAGGTGTCATGTTAATTCTGTCTATCGAAGATTAAAACAGCTAAATTCTCTGCAGAGCTGTCATGTTAATTCTGTCTACTGAACACTAAAACAGCTAAATTCTCTGAAGAGCTGTCATGTTAATTCTGTCTACTGAACACTAAAACAGCAAAATTCTCTGAAGAGCTGTCATGTTAATTCTGTCTACTGAACACTAAAACAGCTAAATTCTCTGAAGAGCTGTCACGTTAATTCTGTCTACTGAACACTAAAACAGCTAAATTCTCTGAAGAGTTCTCATGTTAATTCTGTCTACTGAACACTAAAACAGCTAAATTCTCTGAAGAGTTCTCATGTTAATTCTGTCTACTGAACACTAAAACAGCAAAATTCTCTGAAGAGCTGTCATGTTAATTCTGTCTACTGAACACTAAAACAGCTAAATTCTCTGAAGAGCTGTCATGTTAATTCTGTGTACTGAACACTAAAACAGCTAAATTCTCTGAAGAGTTCTCATGTTAATTCTGTCTACTGAACACTAAAACAGCTAAATTCTCTGAAGAGCTGTCATGTTAATTCTGTCTACTGAACACTAAAACAGCTAAATTCTCTGAAGAGTTCTCATGTTAATTCTGCCTAGCCAATGATTGATGGGTTGCTTGGGTTTGTTGTTTAATGGTGCCCTCAGCAATATTCCAGTGACATGGGGGTGGTCTGTAAATAATCGAATCTCGACTACACAATCCAATGATCAAAAGCACGATCATCGACCTACGCAAATGGGATACCAAGTCAGAGAGCCTGACCACCAGATCCCATTAGTCGCCCTTAGGTTGCTGAAGACCAATTCTAACCCAGATCTTCATGGGTAACTGATATTATGAAACTATGGAAGCATTACTGAAAGGAACATGTTACTGGATCCGATAACCCCACAATATCTTATCAAGCTGGAGTTCACATTTACGAAGAAAGAAAATAATACTCTCATGCATATATTACCTGTGACATTCCATATCATGATGGCAGCAAGGGTATTACAACATCATGCACCTTGATACATCATATTAGCAATAGATGTGAATATTTCAGTTAATTATGGAACTATCAAATGTTGTCTAAATATACTCAGCAGAGATTTTACCAACCCTCCTGCTGCTGGGTGACTCAGTACATTCGGTTTACAACACATGGAACTGTTTTTCAGTTATACCATAGCTTGTCGGTTTGATGCGAGAGGAAAGCCCATAAACTGGTCCAGGTCTTTGAGCGTCCAAATTTTGGCAAAACAAGTAAACATGTACGGTGCTGAGAAATACATCACAAGAAACACATTGCCAGAAATTTTGGATTTAACCAAAAGATTTAAATATTCAGGCATATCCACGGGAGAGTGAATTACAGTTCATGCAAGGACTGCACTGAATACACTATGAGATGAATAAGATATGTATTTTGAACATATAGTACTGAATATGAATTATCTATTAATGAATAATGTATGTTGAACAAAAAAAATAACATAATGCAATACATTGCGAAACAGGCTGCGTTTAGCCTCGTGAGAGTACCAAGGTGCCATCCTAGATTAACACAAGTTACGCTACAGTGTGGTTTAATTCACCCAATATGTGAGTGAACCACAACAGGAGTAATATTAGTTCGTGCTCTTCTCAACCTTAAGTGATTTAACATTCGTATAATAACAAGAAGACAAAGTCATCAATATCCCCCGCAATGGCAAAATACGCTTCATGATTATGTCTACGAGTTATGATTATGTCAAATATTTAGGTGTGTATATAGAAAGGTGGAAGGAGAGTATTGAAAGGTTTTTAAAGTTCTGCTCCAGAAAGCAGCACTATCACCAATTTCAGGCTAAGTCAAACTTGTTGCCAAGGAAATGCCAAAAATATTTTATTCAGAATTCCAAAACTACCAAAAGGCACAAATACACCAAAAGATCTATCTATGTGCCAAGTTTGGTGAAGAAACATTGAACGGTTTTAGAGTTCTGCTCCGGAAAAGAGCACAACCACCAATTTCAGTCTAAGTCAAACTTGTTGCCATGGAAACGCCAAAAATATTTTATTCAGAATTCAAAACCTACCAAAAGGCACAAATACACCACCAGATCTATCTATGTGCCAAGTTTGGTGAAGAAATGGTGAACAGTTTTAGAGTTCTGCTCCGGAAAAGAGCACAACCACCAATTTCAGTCTAAGTCAAACTTGTTGCCATGGAAACGCCAAAACTATTTTATTCAGAATTCCAAAACTACCAAAAGGCACCAGTACACCACCAGATCTATCTTTGTGCCAAGTTTGGTGAAGAAACATTCAACGGTTTTAGAGTACTGCTCCGGAAAAGAGTCCTACCACCAATTTCAGTCTAAGTCAAACTTGTTGCCATGGAAACGCCAAAAATATTTTATTCAGAATTTCAAAACTACCAAAAGGCACCAGTTCACCACCAGATCTAACTATGTGCCCAGTTTGGTGAAGAAACATTGAACGGTTCTAGAGTTATGCTTCGGAAAAGACAAATGTGCACGGATGGACGGACGCATGCACGCACGCACGCACGGACGGAGTCCATTCTAATACCCCCCGCAAAACGCTTTGCGGGGGATAATTACAGGTGTAAAGTGTAGTCTACTTAGTTCCAGAATCGCAAAACATCTAAAGACCCATCTTTTTTACTTACTGACATAATCCTTGGGATTTCATGATACAGGATATCTACACTTTAAACTAGTGCATACAATCAGGACAGAATTTTGTTTGATTTTCATCAAAACATGTTGGTTATTCTGTAATGGCATCCTCCATGTATAAGATTTGTCATCTGTACATATCAAACTTTGAAGCTGGTTTTTACTTGAACATATGAAACAATGCTCAAGCTAGTATTGTGATTCATACCTTGAATAAAGGTATGACAAATATGTACAAAACAACAAGCATGTTTTCACACCTTTAAGTCACAATTATACTGAAAGCCATTAAAAATGCAATTTGACATTCATACTTTCTTTACTCACACTAATTTCAACATATATAAACCTAACTGGCAGATATGTTTTAAGTGAACATCTGTGAATAATTTCATCTGAAAATGTCCAGTAAACAACATCAGTGATGCAACGACGACATCACAGGGGTCACTTGCAGTCAATATCGTGTGTGTCCACCGTGCGCTGCAAGACATGCTCGCAGTCTTTGGGGCATTGAAAGACACACATTTCTCACCAACAGCTGTTGGATGGTCTGCAGCCTCTGATGGTTTGGGTCTGATCATGACACCTCCCCCTCCAAAACGATCATGTTCAAGGACACAGTTTGGTAGCCCGAGTCGTCTGAGTCAACTTACAGTGGATGGATGCACATTAAAGTGCCTGGCAATCATCACATCTGAAGCACCTTGGCTGACCATACCGATAACCTGATTCCTTTCGTCTTGTGTCAAGTGTGGCATTTTCTCAAAGTGATTGAGTTCAACAATTCCTTGTGCTTTTACAGGGCCTGGGTGCAGGTAATGCATGTGCACAACGTGTTTCATGAATGTGGTTGTGTTTACGAGAAATGTCAAAGGTTCAGTTTTAAGTATCAAAGTTCATGTGAGAGGAATGCTCCGGGACTCGAACTCGAAATGGGCCAGAATAACAGCCTTTTATCCCTACATCCTCTGTATCGCAGGAAAAAAGCTTCAATAGAACTTTTGAAAGTTTCAGGACAACAAATACCAATTGCGTTTCTAATGGCTTTCAGTATATTTAGGTAATATTATTAAACAGGAAAGAACATTCATATTGATAGTTTATGGATGACAACTTCTTTGATCTCTTTGATTGGCATTTTAGAAGTTGATGAGTAATAAGAAAGGTGTGATATACTCATGGAAACAAATAAGGGAACACATAAAAGCAACAGTGTTCTTATATTCTTTTCCACGTTTCTTCACAAGCTTTGTATCGCACTGTGGGTGAAAAGAAGGAAAAGCATAAAGGAACACTTGTCCATTCGTGCGTTCCTTTATTTGTTTCCATGAGCATACTTAATGGATGACAACTTCTTTATTATACCGTATGGACAATTTCTATCTAACAAATTGAGAGAAAAAAATAGAGGATCACAGGAGAATTCAAGCGTTCCTTTATTAATTTTCCAGTTTTCATTACCACAGCGCTATTCAAAGCTGGTGATGAAAACTTGAAAATATTAAAGGAACACTTAAATTTTCCTCTGACCTGTATTTGTTTCTCTAAGTATATTATGATGTTATGTTTCAGTATGGAATATTTAGTGTCATAAAGCAAGAGGGAGTTGTTAAGTGAGTAGCACTGATCTTGCAACTCAATGTATTACATATGTTTTAGCGTCACTAGTTCAAAGTGTCAACATCACTAGTTCATAGTATAAGCATCACTAGTTCAGAGAGTCAGCATCACCAATAGTACTATACGGGTCAGTGTGTTAATTTTGTCTATTTTTCAACACCGCACTCAGCAATATTCCAGCTATATGGCGGCGGTCTGTAAATAATGAAGTCAGAACTATACAATCCAGTGATCAACAGCATGAGCATCGATCTACCCAATAAGGATACTACGATATGTGTCAACCAAGTCAGCTAGCCTGACCACCATCAGTCACCTCTTATGACAAGCATGGGTTACTGAAGACCAATTCTAACCCAGATCTTCACAGATGGGTCAGTGTGTTAAAACGGACCTCTTGTTCCTTACCGTTATCCTGCTATTAGAGGCGAGAACCTCTCCCAGGTTTCGGACAGCCATTGTTCCGAAGCCAACAGCATTGTGCGCCACAACCATCAGGAGAGCCATTCCAGAAAATATCCGATCTGATTTCAAGTACTGTTTAGTGCCCAACAAACACATAGTAACAGTTACGAGGTAGATGAGAAATCGGTGTAGAATCACCCAGATACTAACAGTAAATACGGCTGCTTGCTTGGATCTCATGATCACCTTCCACTCATGTCTGAAAACAAGATGGCGTTTGTCTCCAGCATAACATGTCACACTCTGAGTACATAGTTTAGGAAGAAAACCACACAAACACACAAACCAACAAACTAAAATAACTCAAAATAAATAAAGTGCTGCAGAAAAGACACACAAAGTAAGCCCTTAGAAGTAGCGTTAGTACAGAATGGAGAGGAATTCATTGGCCACTTGGCTGTGCATGTTAGTAAGTGCAGTTGAACATTTTGCTGTCAAAATTTGTGATGTCTGAAATTCACAGTTGTGTTAAACTAATTGTTTATCCTGGCAAATTCCTCTGAATTCCTCTTTTGTGACATATTTAAAAGTTATATGGATTTGAATTCTTAGCTATCTCAAGCATCTTTTCATAAGTCCCATTCCCAAAGTACATTAAAACTCTAAAAGGATAAAAAGTACGACCCGACAGCATCACAATGCATCAATATAACTGAATGTGGTGTTCTACATATTCTTTAATTTGAAAATATAATCCATATTTGCTTGCTAAATATAAACTTGCACTGTTTTCTACTGTAGATTCCTCTTAGTATTACCGTCTGTCACTATGTACTGGGCAAGTTCTGCATACCTGGAATTTAACTGGTTTGAAAGGTGTTGCCTTATATCTACATGTATTTTTGGTTTCAGATGTGTAGCTCATCAAGTAAATAAGTCAAGTCTTTCCAGAAGATTTATCCCTTAGTTCCAACACAACATTTACGTCTTGTAATGAAGCTGGAGGATATTCTTGTCAGTTCAAAATTCTTATGCAACAGTCTTCGTTAACCAGTTTCTGAGAAAAAGAAATGTTATATTTGGGATTACACTTTCCCTGGCAGTTAAGTACAGTACTTTTGTGGGCTGAATCCCATGTATTGTTAAGAAATGTCATCTCACCAACATTGTCTATAACAGTACGATGATCCTCTGCATGCTGCCTCCTTCCAATGACATCACAACATACAAGCTCAACAGCCTGTGAATTTTCTCAATGATTCTGTCCAAGCCTTTTGTTAAATGTTCTTCCTGTTTTACAGTCATGAAGAAACCGTTTTCAAAGATTCACAGTCATGAAGAAACCTTTTTCAAAGATTCAGTCTATTAGATGAGTGAGTGAGTGATTTTAGCTTTACACCACCGTTAGCAATATTCCAGCAATATCAAGGTGGGGGACACCAGAAATGGGCTTCACACTTTGTATCCATGTGGGGAATCGAACTCGGGTTTTCGACGTGGTGAGCGGATGCCTTAACCACTAGGCTACCCCGCTGTTCTCTAGTAGATGAGGGGCGGTGGGGTAGCCTAATGGTTAAAGCAGTGGCTTGTCACGCGCCGAAGACCCGGGTTCGAATCCCCACATGGGCACAATGTGTGAAGCCCATTTCTGGTGTTCCCCACCTTGATATTGCTGGAATATTGCTAAAAGCGGCGTAAAACCAAACTCAGTCAGTCAGTCAGTCAGTCTATTAGATGAGTGAAGGATGGATAAAGCACACCTTGAGCTTATTAGCGTCCTGTTGTACTAGCCAACAATGGCACTAAGACTATCATAAGTCTGTATTAAGGTATTGGTAGTACGAACACCTCAGCGCAAAGATTGGCACCCAGGACTTTAAAAAAAGCCAGCATGTGAAATAATGTTTAATACCATAGCAATACTGAACCTATACAGCATACAGGGCTCAAGGGAATGAAACCTTCTTGCACCTGGTGCAACCTTAGGCAATAACCTTGTTGCACCACACAAACACAGGTAGCACATAAAGAATAACATATAATGCTGGAGTTTTGGCATAGGAACATCGTTATTGTGATCATATCTGACAATATATTTTATCTTCAGAAAATGGCATTGCATGAAGAGTAACAGTAATTCCATCACTGTCCGTTTTGTCAGAGTTCGACTGCATTCTGTTTTACAGCTGAAGGCTGTGCTCCGAATATTTCCATGCACAATACATAACAATAGTTAAGGTGTTGATTGTACCAAAGATCACCCAGATCTCAAGTATCATCAAGCCAGACACATCCAGTATACACAACTACAATGGAAGTGTATTTTGTACCAAAGATCAAAAGTAGCATCCAGTATGTCAATATTTTCACCTAATCCAGAAGGTAAAGAAGGAAATGCCACTCATTCTCTCAAGACCCTCTCTCACAATCACCCCTTTAACTGTAATGAAAGACTTGGAGTGGAAGGTTACACTTCAGATATCAAAATAATCTCTTTTCCTATCTCACATCAGCTTATGAGTCGAGTGGTTCATACACAGGAAGTACACTCTGTCAACAGTTGGGAGGGTGCTATTCTTGCCTTGAGTGAAACAGTTGGGAGGGTGTTATTCTTGCCTTGAGTGAAACAGTTGGGAGGGTGTTATTCTTGCCTTGAGTGAATCAGTTGGGAGGGTGTTATTCTTGCCTTGAGTGAATCAGTTAGGAGGGTGTTATTCTTGCCTTGAGTGAATCAGTTGGGAGGGTGTTATTCTTGCCTTGAGTGAAACAGTTGGGAGGGTGTTATTCTTGCCTTGAGTGAATCAGTTGGGTGGGTGTTATTCTTGCCTTGAGTGAAACAGTTGGGAGGGTGTTATTCTTGCCTTGAGTGAAGAAATCGGAACAGGTAATTCAGTCAGCTAAATCACTGATCTAGGAAACACAGTGGGATTAGAATGATCCAACTTAGGACTGTCAGTTGACCTGAGCTGGCCTCCCTGGCCTAATCATACAGATGAAAAACTGAACCAATACAGGATCTCATTACAAAACCAACATACGGTAGGATATGCTGATCTCAACATATAGTTCATGAATGGATCTGCTGACCTCAGCATAATGTTCAACATAGTGATCTTTAAATATCAGAATACTATTCAACATACTGATGAGCTCATCTCATATTTTTCACTATACATCGTGATCTGCTGATCTCATCATATTGTTCAACATACTGATCTGCTGATCTCATCATATTATCTAATATTGTTCAACATGGTGATCTGCTGATCTCATCATCTTGTTCAACATAGTGATCTGCTAATCTCATCATCTTGTTCAACATAGTGATCTGCTGATCTCATCATATTATCTAATAGTGATCTAATATCATCATCTTGTTCAACATATCTGCTGATCTGATCTGATCTCATCATTATCTTGTTCAATCATACTGATCATCATCTTGTGATCTGCTGATCTCATCATCTTGTTCAACATAGTGATCTGCTCTATCATATTGTTCAACATCAATAGTGATCTCATCTCATCATCTTGTTCAACATAGTGATCTGCATCATCATATTGTTCAACATAGTGATCTGCTAATCTCATCATCTTGTTCAACATAGTGATCTGCATATTGTTCAACATAGTGATCTGCTGATCTGATCATCTTGCATAATCTCATCATCTTGTTCTCATCTGCTATTATCATCATCTTGTTCAACATATAGTGATTCTAATCTGATCTCATCATATTGTTCAACATAGTGATCTGCTGATCTCATCATATCAACATTGATCTGATCTCATCATCTTGTTCAACATAGTGATCTGCTGATCTCATCATATTGTTCAACATAGTGATCTGCTAATCTCATCATCTTGTTCAACATACTGATCTGCTGATCTCATCATATTATCTAATAGTGATCTCATCATCTTGTTCAACATAGTGATCTGCTGATCTCATCATATTGTTCAACATAGTGATCTGCTGATCTCATCATATTGTTCAACATAGTGATCTTATCATCATATTGTTCAACATAGTGTTCTGCTAATCTCATCATATTGTTCAACATAGTGATCTGCTGATCTCATCATATTGTTCAACATAGTGATCTGCTAATCTCATCATCTTGTTCAACATAGTGATCTGCTGATCTCATCATCTTGTTCTTGTTCAACATCAACATAGTGATCTGCTGATCTCATCATTGTTCAACATAGTGATCTGCTAATCTCATCATATTGTTCAACATAGTGATCTGCTAATCTCATCATCTTGTTCAACATACTGATCTGCTGATCTCATCATATTATCTAATAGTGATCTAATCTCATCATCTTGTTCAACATAGTGATCTGCTGATCTCATCATATTGTTCAACATAGTGATCTGCTAATCTCATCATCTTGTTCAACATATCTGCTGATCTGTTCAACATAGTGATCTGCTAATCTCATCATCTTGTTCAACATAGTGATCTGCTGATCTCATCATATTGTTCAACATAGTGATCTGCTAATCTCATCATCTTGTTCAACATAGTGATCTGCTAATCTCATCATCTTGTTCAACATAGTGATCTGCTAATCTCATCATATTGTTCAACATACTGATCTGCTAATCTCATCATATTGTTCAACATAGTGATCTGCTAATCTCATCATCTTGTTCAACATAGTGATCTGCTGATCTCATCATATTGTTCAACATACTGATCTGCTAATCTCATCATATTATTAAGGACAAGATCTGCTAATCTCCGCATCTTGTTAGAAGTAGGATATGGGTCACAGGTTGCGATGAATATGGCCATATGCTTACTTGTTATCATTTTTGAAGTGTGATACATAAATCCCTCAGATCATGCATCTGTATAAACATGTCAGCCCAACTGCTGGATCACACACCCATAGTGTAACAAATTGTCATGACAACGGAGTATGTTGATCAAGTGACACGAATAACGTCAGAGCATAACCTGTTTCAAAACTGAGTGAGTATAGTTTTATGCCAATTTATGAATATCCCAGCAATATCACGGCTGGGGACACCATAAATGGACAAACACATTGTAACCATGTGGGGAATCAAACCTGGGCCTTCAGCGTGACGAGCGAACGTTTTAACCACTGGGTTACCCCATCACCCCCACTTGTTTATATATAATACCTCCTGAAACTACATGAACATCTGTAATAAAACATCACATATCATGTAATGTTTCGGTGCCTCACAACGTACATTATCCTTGCTACCAATACAAAATA